GGCGGAGGGGGCGGAGGGGGCGGAGGGGGGCGGCCGGCCTGTGCAGGAGGCTGATGAAGGGCCGTCGAGGAAGTACAAGGGGCGCGGAGGACCTCGGAGGGCTAACGAGGGCGGGCAAGAAGGGACATCCGATGTAGAGGGCATAAGAGGGTGAAGGAGGAGGGGGGGGGGGGGCAGGAGGAGTAGAAGGGAAGAGAGATGAAAGGAACAGTGGGGAGGGAGGGAGGGAGAGAGAGAGAGAGAGAGAGAGAGAGAGAGAGAGAGAGAGAGAGAGAGAGGAGAGAGAGAGAGAGAGAGAGAGAGAGAGAGAGAGGAGAAGGGGAAGAAAGCTAAGAGAGAGAGAGGGGAGAGGGAAAAAGCTAAGAGAGACAGAGAGGAAAAGAAAGAGAGGATGAGAAAGAAACAGAGGGAGAGAGAGAAAGAAAGAGAGAGAAAGAGAACGAGAGAGAGAGAACCAAAATCTTTAATCAGAAGCAGAGAGGAAGTAGATGAAAGGGGAAAAGGTAAAGGCCAGGTTATTGTGATGATTCTGAGATCACGCGGAAGCCGCTCTCGACCTCTCCAGCTGTTGCTGAACACCTTAATGGAACGGCTGTGTTGAGTGCACGCGTGGATGTACTTGTGTGTGTGAGGGTGTGTATGAGCGGGTGTGCGCGTGTGCGTGTGTGTGTAAACCCGCGCGTGTGCTTCCATGTTGGATGCGTGTGTGAGTCTGTGGGCGTATGCTTATGTGTTTATTCCAGTCGGCCGCGGGGGTCAGAGTTTCAAGTAAATTCAGGCTAGTGCCGTTGGTTATGCACTATCACGGGTCATTACACAATTGCAACATCGCAATTTTCTTGTTGGGTAGAAGCTAGTGGGTCGATACGCTCCGCATGTCTGGCTCGAGGCCTTTTTTCCCCTTTTCTTTGGAAACTTTTGCGCAATTCAACTCGTATTTAGCGACAGAAAGAAAAGACTTGAGAGGGGGGAAAAAAGAAAAGAGGAAAAGAATAGAAATAAAGACAAAAAAAAAACTTGGTTTAAAACGAAAGTGGGAGGGAAGGGGGGGAGGGGGGAGTTAATTTGTATTTACCCTCGTTCAGGTCTCAGAAGTGTTAAAAAGAAAGGGAAAGAAGGGGAAAAAAAGAGAGAGAAAAGGAAACCAAGAGAAAGCAGGGAAGCAAGCAGGAAAGGAAGAAACTCGGCGAGGCTACCTGGCTGACATAATAAATAGTCTATTGGAGAAAGTAAATTGGGGAAACGCGCAAGATGTGGCAACATTTATCTCCTTTCTGAATTGTTGCAGAATTGATCCTTGCTTAAAGTTGCCCTGCCTATGGGACGTTAGTCAGGCCAGCGCTGGGTATTGGGGCGAGATCCATTATCCGACCCCCCCTTCCCTATCCCTCCCCCCCTCTTTCACTCTCCCCTCCCCTCCCCCTTCCCTTTATCTCGCCTCCCCTCCTTCCCCCTCCCCTCTCCAACGCTTGGCCTCTTCCCCCTACTCCCTTCCCCCTCCATTTCTCTTGCCTACTCTCTCCTCTCTCCTCTCTCCTCTCTCCTCTCCTCTCTCCCATCTCTCTCCCCTCTTCCTTCTTCCCATATGGCGGGGCTGTCAAGGGAAGCATGTGCAAGACGTGCAAGGTACGGGGACGGGGGGAGGAGGAGGAGGAAGGAGGGAAGGAAGGAAGGAAGGAAGGAAGGAAGGAAGGAAGGAAGGAAGGAAGGACGTAGAGAAAGAAAAAAGGGAGGAGAAGAATAAATCGATAAATGAACCAAACAGAAACGGGGGAAAAAAGAAGAAAGAAAAGAAAAGAGGGGGAAAGACAAAAAAAAACAAAACCGAAAAAAAATAAAATCTAATAGCAAAAGAGAGAGACAGAAATTGCCACGGGCCATTATCAACCTGAAAACAACGTAGAAATATACTCAACGTAGCAGTGTGTTTTTTTTTTCCCCGCGGGTCGGACTGTCGTGTTCAGTCAGTACAAAGAGAGTGAGAAAGAGCGAGTAAGTGGAAAGGGGGGGGGGGGTGAGAGAGAGAGAAAGGGGGGGATGATGAGAGAGAAAGGGGGGATGAGAGAGAGGGGGGGGGGCTTGAGAGAGAGGGGGGGTGTTGAGAGAGAGAGAGAGAGAGAGGGGGGGGGGGGGTTGAGAGAGAGAGGGGGGAGAGAGAAAGAGAGAGAGGGGGGGATGAGAGAGAAGGAGGAGATGAGAAAGAGAGAGAGAGAGGAAGAGAAAGAAAGAGAAAGAGAGGAAGAGAGAGAGAAAGAAAGAGAAAGAGATAGAAAGAGAGAGAAAGAGAGAGAGAGAAGGGATAATAGCAGAGAGAGAGGAAATCAGAGATAGGGGGTGAGAGAGGGAGAGAGGGGGAATAAGAGAGAGAGAGAGAGAGAGAGAGAAAGAGAGAGAGAGAGAGAGAGAGAGAGAGAAAGGGGGAGATGAGAGAGAGAGAAAGGGGAGGATGAGAGAGAGAGAGAAAGGGGAGGATGAGAGAGAGAGAGAAAGGGGAGGATGAGAGAGAGAGAGAAAGGGGAGGATGAGAGAGAGAGAGAAAGGGGAGGATGAGAGAGAAAGAGAAAGGGGAGGATGAGAGAGAAAGAGAAAGGGGAGGATGAGAGAGAAAGAGAAAGGGGAGGATGAGAGAGAAAGAGAAAGGGGAGGATGAGAGAGAGAGAGAAAGGGGAGGATGAGAGAAAGAGAAAGGGGGAGGATGAGAGAGAAAGAGAAAGGGGAGGATGAGAGAGAGAGAGAAAGGGGAGGATGAGAGAAAGAGAAAGGGGAGGATGAGAGAAAGAGAGAAAAGGGGGGATGATATAGAGAGAGAAAGGGGGGGAATGAGAGAGAGGGAGAGGATGAGAGAGTGAGAAGGGGAATGGGAGAGTGAGAAGGGGAATGGGAGAGTGAGAAAGGGAATGTGAGGGAGGGGGGGGGAGCGCCCATGTCCCAGCTTGAGGCTGTCCGCGAAAGCTCCATCGTCGGCTCCTCCGCCCACGACTCCCCCCCCCACCGCCCCCGCCCCCTTACCTCAGCCCAGCCCGCTGTGCGAGGGCGTAGGGTCCACGCCCGCCCACTCGCGTTTGAACGTGTTCGAGTGGTCTTTTTCACGTTTTTTTGTTTTTTTTTTGTTTTGCGAGAGGTCATATTTGCATTTAGATTGGCGGACACGAATAATGACCTCATTTATATATTCGGTTAAGGGTAGTATTGTCTGGAGGATGCATATGTACGCGTGCGCACTGCGGACGCTCACGCCCGCGCCTACGCACCACATTATACACTGACATATATATACAGTGGCACTAACATGTACTCATACGTGTACAGACACACACACATACACACACACATACACACACACACACACACACACACACACACACACACACACACACACACACACACACACACACACACACACACACACCTCCATACAGCCAACCAATCCCTCACATACATACATACATACATACATACATACATACATACATAGATAAACAAATGTATATAAACACAAGGAAGACACACACGAGTACATGCAAGAACTTACCACAGACAGTCTGAAATCGACTTTATGATCCCTTCTGTGGCGGTAATAGTTAAGTCTACATGTGACTAAAGGGGAAAAATATCATTCTCTCTCCCTTTCCCCTGGTCTGTATCTGCCTTTCCTTCGTCTCTCTCTTTCTCCTCTCTCCCTCCCTCTGACGTTTTACCTCTCCCTCCTTCTTTATTTCTTTCCCCCATCTTCGTATTTCTCTCTTCCCCTCTCGTTTTCTTTTCTCTTTTTCCTCTCTCCCTGTCTTGCTCGCTCCCTTTGCCACTTTCTCGTTTTCATCGTCTTTCTCTCTTATTCTCCATTTCTGTTTTCGCATCTTACAATAAGTTTTACTATGATTGTTTTCTATCCCTGAGTGTTTGTCAATAAAGCTTCGATTAACTGTGGAATAAATCGTAAAGCCACTTTTTCTTGATTTTAATTTTTATTATTATTATTTTTTTATCCAGACACCCAGGTCCATTTCGTGTCTGGAAAAGAAAAGAGAAATATCAGCTTCCTGTGATCAATCGCGTTTATTTCACCAGTTGTTTCCGTAGCGAGGACCAAGTCTGGACATTTAACCAGATGAAAAGGATACTGGAATTCGTAGGAATCTGCTGTTTGATTCAAGTAATATATTTCACGTTAATGAGGATCGAAGTAACGCTATGGTCATTCTCTTTTCTGTATTGAAATTAGTTGGGTGTATTTTTTTATGTAATCATTATTGTAATTGCTTTATGGATAAATATATTATGGAAAGTTATTAGTTTTTGCTTTCGTTCTATTAACAATTACCCGACTTGTCTGGAGATCTGTATCTGAATAGAAACAAGGATTCATTATCATTAATCGGCAAGTGAATCCATTCTGTTATTCTGTAGGGAGCAGTGTGGACTACAATAGTTACCGATGTCATGTTTGGTACGTTTTCTTTTAATATACACTGTTGAGAAAGAAAATGAAGGATAGAAAACGAGGAGCATGCTTCGCTTGACTCAGAGGGGTAACTCTGTTACCAAGAACTGCAATATAGGTGTCATGAGTTTCCTATTCTCGTGCATGACTGGCCTCCTCCTCCTAGGCAAGGTGGCTGCGACTCACCAAGCAACAGGTGCCTCCCACGCAACGGCGAATGCATGACGGTCAGAGGCAGACCGTCACGCAAACCCGAGTGTATGACACTCAGGATCAAGGGTCACTGGAGTCCATGACGAATCAGAACGGCATGCAACAGTTCATTTACGTCTGTGCTGTGTTTTGTTTGGGAGTTAACGATTAACATTAATGATAAAATACACGCATGAAAACATTTTCTAATTCACGTTGCACTAATTGAGAGCAAAACTTATTTGATCAATCCTAACAGTTACCTTACACTGCAATTAAAGGAACGTCAGTATCCATCAATACTCGCATGCACTAGATATACATTACGTTCCACTGAGTGTACTAAAACGACAATTCTCTCCCCCAGGTGTGTGCGACCTCACGGACAGCGTGGCCCGGCCTCCCTCCTCCCGGGCCCCAGGTGAGGCGAACTCTTTGCCAGGAATGGTGAAGGTGTAAAGAGTAATAGTGTTTGTGTGCGCGCGCGTGTGTGTGTGTGTGTATGTGCGTGTGTGTGTGTGTGTTCGTGTGCGTGTATGTGTGTGCGTGTGTGTGTGTGTATGTGGATGCTTCCAATGCCGTACTTCTTGAAAGGTTATGTCCTCCTTTGTTGAATAAAGAACCGGCATGTTCACAGTAATTAAAAGGGGGGTGGGGAGTTAAGAACGAGTTTTCGAGCAGTGAAAGCCCCTGGGAGCTTACGGCCTACTGGCACTGCTGGGGCGAGGTTGCATGACCTAGTAGCGTGTCATGGTGGCACGACCGCATGGCGTGACCTGGCGATTCGCTCTGCCTTCAATTCAATGTAGAGGGAGAGAAAATAAAAATTGATAAATATGTATCACTTATCGTCTGATCACGAAGCCCATGATTTTGTATGTATATATATAATATATATTTTTATTTATTTATTTATTTATTTACTTATTTATTTATCTATTTACTTATTTATTTATTCATTCATTCATTTATTTATTTATGATATACACTGAAGGATAATTATGCAAAGTTTGTAGCTATTCTCTCTCTATCCCTTCTATCTCTCCCTTCCTCTCTTCTCGCTTCCTGTCTCCCTTCCACTTCCCTTTTCCTCTCTTCCCCATTTCCCCCCCTCTCCCATCCTCTCTCCCTCCCTCCCCCTCCTCCCTCCCTCCCTTCTCTCCCCTCCCTCCCTTCCCTTCTTCCCTCCCCCTCCTTCCCTCCCTTCCCTCCCTCATTCCCTCCCCTCCCTCCCTTCCCCCTTTCCTCCTCCTCTCTCCCTTCCCCCTTTCCTCCCCTCTCCTCCCTTCCCCCCTTTCCTCCCCTCCCTCCCTCCCCCCCTTCCCTCCCTTCCTACCCTCTCCTCCCAAGACATTATCTCTTAAATAGATCTTACCTCGGCTCCCTTAGGGACATGAATCATTGTGCTATCACTCGTGCTCTGCCTTTCAAGTCCACTTCCGTCATCGTCCATCTCCAGACTGCTTCCATCCTCTTCATCTTCCTTTGATTCTCCTATTCCTCTTTTTTATGTCTGCTTTTCGTCTCTTCTTTCTTCTCTTCCTCCTCCTTCCACTACTTTCTCCTCCACCATATCCCCCTCCCCTATCTCGTTCTACCATCACCAATCCCCTCCTTCTCCTCCTCCTCCTTCTTTCTCCTCCTCCTCTTCTTCTTTCTCCTCCTCCTCCTCTTCTTTCTCCTCCTCCTCCTCTTCTTTCTCCTCCTCCTCCTCTTTCTTCTCTTTCTTCTCCTCTTTCTTCTCTTTCTTCTCCTCCTCCTCCTCTTTCTTCTCTTTCTTCTCCTCCTCCTCCTCTTTCTTCTCTTTCTTCTCCTCCTCCTCCTCTTTCTTCTCTTTCTTCTCCTCCTCCTCCTCTTTCTTCTCTTTCTTCTCCTCCTCCTCCTCTTTCTTCTCTTTCTTCTCCTCCTCCTCCTCTTTCTTCTCTTTCTTCTCCTCCTCCTCCTCTTTCTTCTCTTTCTTCTCCTCTTCCTCCTCCTCCTCCCGCCTTCACATTCACCTTCACCTTCCTCCTCCTGCTACTCCTCCTCCACCTTCTCCTCCACCTCTTCCTCCTTCTCTTCCTCCTCCTCCTCTTCCTCCTTCTCCTTCATCTCTTCCTAAACCTCCTCTTCCTCCTTCTCCTTCCCCTCCTCTTCCTCTTCCTCCTCATCTTCCTCCTCCTCCTCATCTTCCTCCTCATCTTCCTCCTCCTCCTCCCCTTCCCCTTCCTCCTCCTCGTCCTCCTCCTCCCCTTCCCCTTCCCCTTCCCCTTCCCCTTCCCCTTCCTCCTCCTCCCCTTCCCCTTCCCCTTCCCCTTCCCCTTCCCCTTCCTCCTCCTCCCCTTCCTCCTCCTCCTCCTCCTCCTCCTCCTCCTCCTCCACTTCCCCTTCCTCCTCCTCTTCCTTATCCCCTCCCCTTCCTCCTCCTCCCCCTCCCCTTCTCCCTTCTCCCCTTCCTTATTCTCCTCCCCTTCCTCCTCCTCCTTCTTCCTCCTCCCCTTCCTCCTCCTCCTCTTCTTTATCCCCCTCCTGCTCCCCTTCCTCCTCCAGGAAAGGTCAGGAGAAAAAAAATGTCAGCCGTCATCCCCCCCCCCCTTTTCTAAATTCGGGGTCAGCCTTCGGATCAATAAGGCCACGTCCCGGGTAATGGGTGCTTCTTTTCTGATGAGTGCCACACGTTAAAGATGCAGGTGCCGTGTGTATGTTGGGGTGGCCGTGGCACGCACTGAACGAAGAAGGGGGGAGGTTGGCACTCTGGCCTTGCACCCTGCCTTTCATTGGCCCACGCGCGCTGTCTCCCAGGAACATACGTCAGGTGAAACGCAATTATAGGAGGCGGCCCTGATTATGTTGTTTGATAATTAACTTGGGGAGTGGACAAGTTAGTGTTGCAAGGGTGGAACCTCCCGTGGCAGGCGCGGCTGGCTCCTGGATTTCCGCCTGACGAAGGGAACTCACTGTGACGGTCGCGGTTTCGTTTTTTTTTTTCTTTTTTTCTTTTCTTTTCTTTTTTTTGGGGGGGTTTTTAAATCTGTTTGTCTTTGTCTGTCTGTCTTGGTTTGTCAGGCAATTTCCTTTCTTTTTACTTTTTTTTTTCTTTTTCCGTCTCTCCTTTTCATTTTTCGGTTTCACTGTTGCATTTTTTTATCCCTGCCCCCTTCCTCCGCCCTTCATCAGTCCCTCCCATTAACCTCCTCCTTCATCTCCCCCCCCCCCACTGCCCCTCCAACATCCTCCCTCACCCCCCCCCCAGTTTCCTCCACTCCCACCCCTCCTCCTCTCCCCTCCAACTGCCCCCTTCACCTCTCCTTCCCTCACCTCCATCCACCTCCCCCTCCTCCACCTCTCTTTTTTACCCCCTCCATCATTCTCCCTCAACACCCCCCCCCCTCTCACGCACCCCCCCCCTTCCCCTTCCCCCCGACCCCGCCGAAACACCGTGATTCAGGCGCTGATAATCTGTCGGTCGCGGATAACGATAAATCCCCGCGGAGGAACTTTCCGACGGGGGTCCAGGCAGGCGGCCGCTCGTTGGGGCTTCGAGGGAGGATCAGAAAACCCGGTGATTGGAAGGAGAGACGGACGGGGTGTTTGTGTTGAGATTCGGTGATTCGGTGATTTTGTGATTCGGTGATTTTGTGATTCGGTGATTTTGTGATTCGGTGATTTTGTGATTCGGTGATTTTGTGATTCGGTGATGTAGCTGAATGTGAAGGATTGGGTGAGAGACGGAGCCGGGGGGAGGATGGAGGAGGAGTCATGCACAGAAAATTAATTTGACATTTACTGTACACTGTTATCGGTATGAGAAGAGGAAAAAAAATCAACCATGGAGTGGTTTTCTCTCTATCTATTTATCTTTCTCTCTCTTTCTCTCTCTCTCCCTCCCTCCCTCCCCCTCCTCCCCTCCCCTCCCTCCCTCCCTCCCCTCTTTTCCTCCCTCCTTCCGTCCTTCCGCCTCCCCCTTCTTCCTCCTCCTCCTCCTCCTCCTCCTCCTCCTCCTCCTCCTCCTCCTCCTCCTCCTCCTCCTCCTCCTCCTCCTCCATCCCTTTCCTCCCCCTGTCCCTCTTCTCCTCCCCCCTCTCCCCTTGTTCTCACAATTCGTCTTTGGATAAAAATATAATATTCATGTCTCTTTCTTGTAAGTGTTGTTCTCGACGTGAATGATCATGGGGCGAGGCGTTGTTCGGCGAGGCCCTGATGCGCGCGGGGGAACAGGCGAGGCACTTGTCAAGAGGCTCTCAGTGTTCTTTTGTTTGTATGTTTGTTTGTTTTTTGTTTGTGGGGCTTTGTTTTTTTATTGAGTTACGAAAGAAACAATTACTACTACTACTACTACTACTACTACTACTACTACTACAACAACTCTGGCTGTTACTACTACTACTATTTCTTCTGCTGTTGTTACCACTACTACTACTACTACTACTACTACTACTCTGTTACTACTACTATTGATGATAATGAAAATGATAATAGCAATGATACTTTTTGCATATGGACTTCAATCCTCTCCTAATGGTCATACCCAAACCTCCTTTCATTATTTTACTAAGAACATGCATACTACTACTACTACTATTGATTTATTCTACACTGCTCCTCTACTAATACCGCCGCCGTTATTGCTGGTACTTTATACTGCTATTATTGATATAATTATCATTATTAGATACTTTTTCTTTGTCTTATTATTATTGTTACTGTGACTTCGAAAAATATTAACATCACTGTTGTTGTTTTTTCTGTCAGTCTTCTTTATTCGGGCTATGCAAAAAAAATTACTTTAATTACGAATGCAAACCACCCAATGGGTACAAGCAGACAAAAGGAGGAGAAGGAGAAGAAGAAGAGGAGGAAGAAGAGGCAAAAAAAAAAGAAAAAGAAAAAAAAGGATAAGCATTTTAAATAAAAAAAAAAAATAAAAATAGATTAAAAAAAAAAAAAAAAAAAAAAAAAAAAAAAAAAAAAAACGGAAGTTGGTTGAACGAACCCATCGCCGAGACAAGAGAAATGGGCGACACATTTCCTTGGCTTTGTACACAAGTCGTGGGTTTGAAGAGGCGGAGGAAGGGAGGCGACCAAGACCCGGAGACAACATGGGCGGGAGAGGGAGGAGGACCCCGCGACGTCTCCTCCCCCGTGGCTTGCTTTGTTGCCTGCTTTTAAGCTTGTTTCTTGGGTGCTGGCTTTTTTTTTAAATGTTGGGGTGATTGCTTGATTTTTTTTTTTTTTCTTTTTGGTGTGGGTGTCTGTTTCTGTGTCTCTGTTTGTCTCTATCTCTCTCTTTCTCTGTCTCTACCTCTCTCTTTCTCTGTCTCTATCTCTCTCTTTCTCTGTCTCTGTCTCTGTCTCTCTCTCTCATTCTCTGTCTCTGTCTGTCTCTCTGTCTCCTCCTCTCTCTTCTCTTCTCTTCCTCCTTCCCCTCCCCCCTCTTCCTTC